TAACAAGTCAGTCAAGCCTTTTTTCACCCCTTTTCTCCTCCAGGATGAGATCCACCTTCTACATGACGACCGGGGTCCTGTTCTAGAGTCTCTGGTGGCCAGAGCCATCCGCAACATTGAGATGACCCAGGAGGACGTGAGACTTGTTGGCCTCAGTGCCACTCTCCCAAACTACGAGGATGTGGCTACGTTCCTGAGAGTGGACCCTGTCAAAGGCTTATTCTACTTTGATAACAGGTGTGAGGCCGTTTAGGAAGGGCCTTTTGCAATGCAGCTAGGGAAGCAGTGAAGCCTCTAAGGAGGTGGGTTAGAATGTAACTGTAAATAAGCTGATGGTGCCAGGGTTTCACTGGGCGTGCAGCCTGATTTATCTGGTCCCTGTATGTGCTTGTGGCTTTCAGGGAGCTTCTTTAGAATAGGTAGGTCCAGGATTGTGCCCCTGGGGTATCTGTCTGAGGCTGTGTAATGACTACCGTAAATTAGCATGTATAACCTGCACCCATGCATAACCTGCAGTTTTTCCTAAATGTGTCTCTTTTTTTTTAAAAAAAAAAAAAAAAGTCTTGGATAACCCGCATGCGTGTATAGCCCGCAGATTATATATGCTAAACCCACCCTCCTCCAGGAGGGAGGGGAACGGAGAGCGCGGCGCAGGAGAGCTGGTCGGCCTGCGGGAGGGGAGATGCACTCGCACCCAGGCAAGTAAAAATAAACTTGTATACCCCGAGGACACGTATACCCCGTGGGGCGGTTGCGGGGTTTGTAAAAACTTTGTATAACCCGCAGGTTATATTCGCTAAAACATGGTAGTTCTATTTAACGGTAAGATCTTTGTCATTGTTGTTCTAAAAAGTCAGATGGCCCATGATCTTTCCCTGACTTTTCCTAAAAATGACTGGGACAGAATGGGGTAGGGGGTCTAATACTGGCTGCTGTTCCAGCATCCCTCCTGGGCCTGTGGATGGGAGCTGCGGTGTCCCCATGCCAGCTGACCGTTCCAACTCCACCACCCCAGGGCTGAAGCAGAAAATGTCATGGAGGTCTCTGTCATAGAATCAGATTTCCACAATCTTAGCCTTAGTTATTCTCTCATTCCGGTTCAGAGCATAAACTGAGAGAGGGAAGGGATTCTCCATCCCATCTGCTGCAGAAGTTTCTTGGAGGACATTTCAATAGGTCTGAGGTAGCTTGCACAGTATCATTCATATCTGAGTGCATTCAGGGAACAATGCTGCTGTAGAGCTGAAACAAGAAGTGGTTGACCAATACACAAATCAGGGCTTGGCCAGTACGTGAATCAGGGAATCTTTGGGCATTTAGCACCGGGCCCTGTGGAGGGGCTGGATCAACACTTGTGGTGGGATCTGCACAGTTTTTGTGCATAGAAATTCTGACCTACGGCAGAAATCCATGACACGATGGTGCCATTGCAGCCAGTTCATGCTGTCTGCTTCTCACTGCAGCTTTCGCCCAGTGCCTCTGGAGCAGACCTATGTGGGAATCACGGAGAAGAAAGCCATCAAGCGCTTCCAGATCATGAATGAGATTGTCTACGAGAAGATTATGGAGCATGCTGGGAAGAACCAGGTAGGCCAGATGTCCTGCTGTTATTTTGGTTGCTGGCACATTGCAGCCTCTTGCTTGTGGTTATCATGTGTCCGCTCTCTCCCCCCTCCTCTCCCCAGGAATGTGGGATCGGGGTGCCCTCGTTAGCCGCAGGAGGGCTCCGATCCTGAGTTTATTCTAGGCTCATGAGTGGCCAAAGGGGGCTTACCCACGTATCGGGGTCGGACCCCTGAGCATGGGAACCTCCCCCTCTTGAGCCACCGGTCCTTCCCCCACGACTATTTGCTAGTGGGCTGGAGTCCGTGTCCGCTTTGGGTGGCCCTTGTCCTCACATAGGCCAGAGTTCAGCAGTGGGATGCAAGGAAAACAAAAGGGTCTAAATCCGTGTCCTGACTTTTCATCTCACTCAGTAGTTACTTTTCGGTTGGGTAGGGGAACTCGGGCCCTCCCAAGCTCCAGCCCCAGGACCCTAAGGTAAGGTCGGGTATACCTTACCTGAATGGTGAGCCCCACGTCAATCACTCCCCACCCCTCTCGGGGGTTAGTCGCTGTCCTGTACGACATCCCCATCCTGGAACTGCTTCCTAAGCTTAGAAGCTCCACCACCGAATCTCCCTTCTGGAGAGGAGAGGCTGCCCCCATCCTGGAACTGCTTCCTAAGCTTAGAAGCTCCACCACCGAATCTCCCTTCTGGAGGCGAGAAGCTGCCACTCCAGTCCCGGTGGAGGAAGCCCCCGTTTGGGTGTCAGCTTCCTGGCCCCGATGGCCTGGGCGTCTGGCAGCCCGCTGCTGGGGCCATCTATCTCTCTCGCCATTGTCTTCCTGCCCCTGGCGTCTTCATTCGCCTCCCTGGCAAGTCCGGCCGCCCTCTCTCGGCTCAGCTGAGCCGGCGCCGCTTTGGAACACAGCATGCGTCTCAGGGCACGTGCGCAACAGCACCGGGGGCGGGGGCCATGCCGGTCAGATCCCGGGCCGGGAGCCTCTGGCGCTTCCGGTCCCAGGAGGAGGGACGGGCCTGTCCTGTCAGTGGTGCATTGCTGATGGCTTTTCCCAGTTATATTAGTCCTGTGGGCTCTGCTCCCATCTTCAGAATTGCTGACATCTATCTACAGCTAGTTCCCACCCAAGCCCCTCTGCTCAGTGCTGGCTGGCCCTCCCTCCTGAGCCAGCTCACTGCGCCTAGAGTCCTTCCAGAGCCAAGCATCTCTCCTCTTCCAGGATTAAACAGTCCCCTCTTGTGGTACGCCCCTCACCAGCCATACTTGCTGCATCAACACCATTCCCAGTGCCTTCTAGGGTGCCCTGTTGCAGCGTAGCCCCTTGCTTTTCAGAGCCCAGGGAGCAGACCGGGACAGAACTCTATGCCAGCTGCCATAGCTTCTCCCTCATAACCGTGCTGTATGGTACGTCGACAGGTGCTGGTGTTCGTTCACTCCAGGAAGGAAACGGGGAAGACTGCCCGAGCCATCAGGGACATGTGTCTGGAGAAAGACACACTGGGTCTCTTCCTTCGGGAGGGCTCAGCCTCTACAGAGGTCCTGAGGACAGAAGCTGAGCAGTGCAAGGTAACTGACAGGCAGAGCTAGTGTGTTGTGCCAGTCTTAATGGACTTGGCTGTATAAAAATGTTGTGACTCGTGTCAGAAATTTGCCATGTTGCCCTAACATCGGAGCTTTCGCTCCCATTTGTTGCTACACTCACAGCGTTAAGCCACAATGTAAATGGCCACTATGGGACCTATGTGTCTGAGGTTCTTGGCAGTGTTGGCTTTGTGGCAGCATGAGAAACCAGCACTCAAGTGCTGGAGCTGAGGTGATGCTGTCCCTGGCCTGTAATATTACCTGTGGTTCATGCCCTGAAGTGTCAGACTGTAATTAATTGTCCCTTTGCTACAGAATCTTGAGCTGAAGGACCTGTTGCCATATGGCTTTGCTATTCACCATGCTGGGATGACTAGGGTAGATCGAACGCTGGTGGAAGATCTGTTTGCTGACAAGCACATTCAGGTGAGTCCCTGCTCCAGCCTTTAGGTGGGGCTGGGATGGTGAGATACTTGAGCAGCACTTTAAAGTGCTTGCTGCTTCAGCATGTGTTGGGAGGCTCAGTCCAGAGACTAAAAATGCACATCTGTTGATTGCCATGTCTTCTGGAAGCTAGTGACCATAGGTCACTGAACAGGGCATAGCTTTCAGCAGAGATGGGTGTGGATGCTCTAGGATATCCCTTTAGCTGATTGGCTTACCAATAGCTGTGGCTTTTGCCTTCATTGTTGTCATGTAAAGTTGTCTAAGTGGTGTAGTTTCTGACTTTAACAAACCTCTGTGATTACTTCTGCTTTAGCCGCGGTGGCGGGGATGGAGTGGGCAGGCTGCAGCAGCGGGCAGGTCCCTTCCCCCACCCCTTTATTTTTAGTGACAGTCATGGATGGGTTGTGGAATTCTGTGAATTTCTGTTTATTGCCTGCAGTCCATCAGTGATTGGCTGGAAATACCCATGGGATCTGGGATTATGAGCTCAGTGCTGCCGTGGCCTGACGCTTGTGATGCGTGAGAGATGCAGCTGTGGGAGTTAGTCCAGCCTACTGCCTGCAAGGTTGCAGTAGCTTGTAGAAAGGAGTGGTTGTTTTGAGAATAGCAGGGCTCTGCTGAGCCTCTGCCCTCCGAGTGAGACTGAGCTTCCATCTCTCAGCTGGCGGAACTAAGGGCTGGGAAGGGAGTTGGGAGCTCTTGAAGGCTGGAGTTGTGTGCTCTGGGTTTATGCAGCACCAAACACAGTAGGGGTATGGCCCATAAATAGGGCTCCCAGGTGCTACTGCAATAGAAACAGGAGGCACTGACAGACTGATGTCATATTGCATGGGCTTCATTGAGGGCTTGTCAGCTGAGCCATGGCAGTGCTTCAGTGTAGACCCAACCTATGTGTGAGGGAGGGCTTCCAGGCAGCCTTGTCCCATTAGAGCTTCCTGCAAGGTGGGGATGGAGGGAGTTGTGCAGCTGCGTGCCAGGTCCTGGCAGTGCAGGGGCTGCTGCTGCTGCTCCTCCTCCTCCTC